AGTTTCTGAGCCAACATTTTGGTTGCTAAGCAAGAGCGTTGTTAAGTGAGTTTCACCACATTTTACAAGTTGGCCACTCCCACCCGGTCACATGGTTGGCAAGCCACTCCCACCCAGTCACACGGCCGGCAAGCCACTCCCACAAAGCAGGCTACATCTACAGAAGAGGTTCTAAAAAATTTGAAACCCACCACTGGACTTGATCCACGCTTAATTTTAAATTGTAAACTGTAAGTTCCAAATCATCGTGGCTAGATTTATACCTGTGTCAAGCTGAACCCAGACAATATTATATTGTTGCATGATGACAGAGATGTAAGATTCACTTTGCTCCCATTTCCAACATCATAATTTTAGGCTTAGATTTGTCCATCTTTTTTGTCCATGTTCTTTAAGAAGCTCTTTAAGAATTCAGTATTAAATCACTATTCATCTTGGGGAAGACCATCAGGCTAAATTTTGTTTAGAGTTACTCTTGAACCTGATGACAGTCTCTTCTTGGTACCTTTTGTGCATTTGCAGATAAAACATGCTTTCAAAGACCATTCTGAAGAAAAAAAAACATTTTTCCGTCTTTTTTAGGCTTGTATTGATTATACGTGTGTAAATGCAAGTTTGCTGGGTTACAACTGTGACATACAGAAAAAGTGTAATGGTCGGGCGGTAAGTTAAAATATTATTATGATGATAATGTTCACAAAATTATAATAACCAAGTATCTTGGCAGAGATAGTCCTCAACGTACGACCACAATTGAGCCCAAAATATATGTTGTTAAGTGAGACATTTATTAAGTGAGTTTTGCTCCATTTTATTACCTTTCTTGCCACAGTTGTTAAAGGAATCATTTCAGTTGTTAACTTAGTAGCACGGTTGTTAAGTGAAACTGGCTTCCCCATTGACTTTGCTTGTCAAAAGGTTACCAAAGGAGATCACATGACCTTGGGACACAGCAATGCGCATAAATATGAACCAGATGCCAAGCGTCTACATTTTGATCACATGACTATGGGGATGCGGCAATGGTCACAAGCCACTTTTTTCAGTGCTGTTGTAACTTTGGTCACTAAATAAAGTGTTGTAAGTTGAGGATTATCTATAGTACAAGTCTATAGTACAACTACTGAATATGTATCATTGCTTTCTTTAAAAATGCTGAGTGGAGTATCAGCAGTATTATGGTAGTTCTTTGTAGCATTTCTACCCATTTATTTATGAGACATTATACCACAACCTAAGTACTACCTCATCTCGAGAACATATATGTGGGTCATGTTTCTTTTATTCAATAAATTTATTATTTATTTATTATTAAAATTTATATGCCGCCCAATCCCGTAGGACTCCGGGCGGCTCACAAAAGAAGAAAAAAGAAAGAAAAAAAAATAAGAAAAGACAGTTTAAAAACACAAAACCACATGCATTCATTCTAACTGGGGCTGGACCTCAACATGATTTCAACAGCCCCAGGTCTGCCGGAACAGCCAGGTTTTAACAGCTTTCCTGAAGGCAAAATATTTTGCATTGTAAGAAACATAGGCTACACTTAGAAGTTTTGTCAAATGAGAAAGTATGTTGTGAGATCACAACTCAAACCCCACCCTTTATGGCAGGGATGTCAAATTCGCAGCATCATGTCGTCACATGACTTATCATGACTCCCCCCCCCTTTGCTAAACCCGGGGTCGGCTTGGCTAGCTTGTGATACATCTGGCCCGCACACTGCGAGTTTAACACCCTTGCTTTATGGGTTTGCATGCAACATTCATAGGTAGTATAAGCACAAACAGTGTGAATCTGCATGACAATGTTCGATGCATGCTTTAACATTTGCTTCCCTTTTCCTCACTTTAGATGCCCACAGCAAGTTAAAATGTTTACATTCTGCTTTCCCCCCCCCTCAAAGAAACAAATCCTTATTTTCCTTATTTTTTCCATTTTTAAATATGCCAAGTTCAGAAATAATGGGAAAGCTAGTCATACAAGAAACAAATCTCATGGGAAAATCAATTCCCATATTGTCATAGGAAAACAATTGTTTTTTCTTCCCTATGACAATATGGTAATTGTGGACATTATCTTTAGTCACTAACAAAACAAGAGTTGGATGGAAACCAGGAGGTCCTGTCAATGGTGTGCTGGAACTGGTTCACATGGACTAATGAGAGATGATTGTTACATTTACTGGAATTTTGCAAGATAGTTGATGAGAAGAGACCTCCAATGCCAGCTCAATCATTGTTTAGAAGACGTTGGTGTAGTGCGTGACCTGACAAATGCGTGCACGACAAAAGCGCGCTGACGAAACTGCGGCGACAAAACCGCGACCTCACAAACGTGCCCACAAAAGCACGATTTCAGTTAAGGTAAGGGTTAGGTTCAGGGTTAGGTTTAGGGATTTCAGTTAAGATAAGGGTTAGGTTTAGGGTTAGGTTTAGGGTTAGGGTTAGGGTTAGGGTTAGGGTTAGGGTTAGGGTTAGGGTTAGGTTTAGAACTCATGGTTATTACTTGTTTGTTGAAGGCGCGCTGTTGTCGGTGCATTTCTGCGCTCATTCGTCGGCGCGATTTAGAACTCACGGTTTTCTCGCCGCGGTTTTGTCGGTCACGCTTTTGTCGAGCGCGCATTTGTCGGTGAACCGGTGTAGTGCTGCCAACACTGTAATGGAGCCAACAGAGCTGCTTGTTAAATATTGATCTCCATACCACACCACTGCTTCCCATCCAAAAGAGGGGTCCATATGATACGATGCACAGCACGCGAGAGAAACTGTGGAGCTGAGTTGATTATTGTCTATATCTCCCTTTTGATATTCAGCTGTTAATAGAATTCTTTCATAATGGCATTTGAGTTCTTCGACAATAAAATTCTTTAGGAGATGTGCATAGATTCTTGCATGCCTGTGTGGGGGAAAAACAGAATACCCTAAGCCAGGGGTAGTCAACCTTTTTATACCTACCGCCCACTTTTGTATCTCTGTTAGTAGTAAAAAAAAATTAACTGCCCACCGGTTCCACGGTAATGGTGATTTATAAAGTAGGGAAGTCAATTAAATTTTAAAAAGGAAAGTGCTTCAATATCG